CGGGAGAAAAGTGAAGTAAAGTAAGGGCGAAGCGAAAGGGCAAACTGTTAAGTACGGGGACCTCGGGTATGTGGAGTTGTTGGTGATGGACACCTTTGTTGTAATGTGTTGTCGTGTGGGGAACATGACCGGGTGGGTTCAGGAGACCGGTCAGGTGGAAACACAAAATACCGCGGCACACTGAAAATGCGTTACATTGAAGGCCGCCAGAAGAGCTTTGCATTTTTTATATGAAGATTTGCGCTATTGGTGGCCGACGCTGCCCAGAAGTTTGGTGCATGCACAGCAGGGGTGGGCACAGACGAACATATTTTTCACGTGCACGTTCTCTTCAAGCTGAAGCGCCAGTGAAACGACAATGGCATGTCCGATTTTTCCGTTTTGGAAATTCCAACGCAGGGTGCACGTTTTCTCTCCTGTTTTCAAAATCCAGAACAAAAACACACGCGGTCACATTTCCGTACTTAAAACCTGACATAATTTGTGCTTCTGCGTTGCGTTTGAGCAGCGCAAGCCAAGCAATTTGCAGCGCGGTTGGCTGAGTTGGGTTGAACATCGCTCCCATGGAAACCGCAAACATGAACGGCTTCACATATTGGCGATGACGCCCACCCGCGGGTCTCTTTTCATCAAGATTCTGGAAACTCAAGTGTTGCCCACCGTTCGCGTTGACGTTTCCACAGACAAAACCTCTAGTCTACATCCACATTTCTGTTTTTGAAACTCCAGCGCGCTGGGCACGTTCACGATCCTGTTTCAAAATTCCAAGCATAGGAAGTCGTCCACGTTTCCGTTTTTGAGACCCAAGCGTAGTGCACACCGCTGCCTTTTCGTTTGAGTGGCGTACGCTCACACCTGATGTGCAGCAGGGTTGTTGACCGCTGATTTGTGACTGGGAGTGGCGGTCAGAGATTTTCAGCGATTCCCAGTACTTTCCAGTAATACGCATGGGCATCAAATAGCGACTTTCTTGATTTCCCTCACCGCTCGATGTCCGTTGATCAGTGCGTGTCCTATTGTGCATTGCTGAACATTCGAGACAATCAGACCTATATGGTGTGACACAAAGAAAAAATTCCACATTGATTTCTCCCGGTCCATGCATCACTGGTATGATGACTGAACAAATGGCAGTTTCACAGGCTCCCATCACGAAATGCCACTATTGTGTGCACAATGTTGACATCGGCTCATGGCCACGGGTTAAAAGTCACCACGTTTGGATAAAATCACCACAAACTATGGTCAAATAAGGTCAAACTCCACACCCAACAACAGCTGAAACTCGGCTAAATCTCGAACTATGCCAAACATATCGTCTCTGCTGCAGTCATTCTTTCCAACTGCTGAAAACAATCTGCCATGCTCACTGGTGAACGTATGACAAGATCTTGGAGTCCCACCAGTTTCCCCAACTCTTTCAAGTCTGCATCTGTGGCGTCCGCAGGCAATTCCAGGGCAAGTGAGTTCAAGTTGGTCAGCCTAGCAATCTGCTGTACTCCCAAATCTGTGACATCAGCACACAGGTCAACTTTGAAATCAAGATAACTCAGCTTGGTCAATGCACCCAAATGACTCAAGCCCACATCTGTGACACCCTTGCACAATCGCAGATCAATATACTCCAATTTAGTCAAATGCCTCAAGTGCGCCAATCCCGTTTCTGTGACATTCCCAGTTGATTTCAAATTGACGTATTCCAATCCAATCAGGACCCCCAAGTGGCCCAAACACACATCTGTCACATTATTCCACCCATGCAAATCAATATGTTTCAATTCGGTTAGTCCTCCCATGTGGCCAAATCCCGCATCTGTGACATTCCTGCAAGAATGCATGTCAACGTGTCTCAGCCGCTCCAACTTTCCCAGGTAAATCAAGCCTGCATCTGTCACATTGGATGTGGCTTGTAGATCTACATGCTCAAGTTCGGTCAGTTTTGCAAGATGACTCAACCCCACATCTGTCACCTTCCCACCAAAATTCAAACTGATGTGTCTCAGCCTGGCCATTTTACTTAAATGACCAAGCCCCACATCTGTCACTTGTGCACATGACTCCAAGACAATGTATTCCAATCTTGCCAGTTTTCCCAGATGCGACAGTCCTACATCTGTCACATCCTCACAACAATGCAAGTCAATGTGACAAAGCCGCTCCAGGTTTCCCAGATGACTCAGCCCAGTATCTGTTAGCTGCTCGCAAGATTGCAAATCAATGTACCGCAATACCTCCAGTCTCCCCAGGTGGCTCAACCCCGCATCTGTTACTCGTCGGCATGAATGTAAATCAATGTGACACAGCTGCACCAGGTTTCCCAAATGACTCAACCCTGCATCTGTCACATTGGAAGCGGTTTCCAAATCAACATGCTCTAGTTCAATGAGTTTTCCCAGATGACTCAGTCCAGTATCTGTTACCTGCTCGCAAGCTTGCAAATTAATGTACCACAGCTGCTGCAAGGTTTCCAGCTGACTCAGCCCAATATCTGTCACATGCTCACAAGATTCCAAATCAATGTGCCACAATTCCTCCAGTATACCCAGATGACTCAAACCCGTATCTGTTACTCGGCGGCATGAACGTAAATCAATGTGACGCAGCTGCTCCAGGTTTCCCAAATGACTCAACCCTGCATCCGTCACATTGGAAGCGGTTTTCAAATCAACATGCTGTAGTTCAGTCAGTTTTGCAAGGTGACTCAACCCTGCATCTGTCACATCCCCACAGCATTGCAAGTCAATGTACCAAAGCTGCTCCAGGTTTCCCAGACGACTCAGCCCAGTATCTGTTACCTGCTTGCAAGCTTGCAAATTAATGTACCACACCTTCTGCAGGGTTTCCAGCTGACTCAGCCCAATATCTGTCACATGCTCACAAGATTCCAAATCAATGTGCCACAACTCCTCCAGTTTACCCAGATGACTCAAACCCGTATCTGTTACTCGCCGGCATGAACATAAATCAATGTGACGCAGCTGCTCCAGGTTTCCCAAATGACTCAACCCTGCATCCGTCACATTGGAAGCGGTTTTCAAGTCAACATGCTGTAGTTCAGTCAGTTTTGCAAGGTGACTCAACCCTGCATCTGTCACATCCCCACAACATTGCAAGTCAATGCGATAAAGCCGCTCCAGGTTTCCTAGATGACTCAGCCCAGTATCTGTTACCTGCTCGCAAGATTGCAAATTAATGTACCACAGCTGCTGCAAGGTTTCCAGCTGACTCAGCCCAATATCTGTCAGATGCTCACAAGATTCCAAATCAATGTGCCACAACTCCTCCAGTTTACCCAGATGACTCAAACCCGTATCTGTTACTCGTCGGCATGAACATAAGTCAATGTGACGCAGCTGCTCCAGTTTCCCCAAGTGACTCAAACCCACATCCGTCACATTGGAAGCGGTTTTCAAATCAACATGCTGTAGTTCAGTCAGTTGTACAAGGTGACTCAACCCTGCATCTGTCACATCACCGCAACATTGCAAGTCAATGTACCAAAGCCGCTCCAGGCTTCCCAGATGACTCAGCCCAGTATCTGTTACCTGCTTGCAAGCTTGCAAATTAATGTACCACAGCTGCTGCAAGGTTTCCAGCTGACTCAGCCCAATATCTGTCACATGCTCACAAGATTCCAAATCAATGTGCCACAATTCCTCCAGTTTACCCAGATGACTCAAACCCGTATCTGTTACTCGTCGGCATGAACGTAAATCAATGTGACGCAGCTGCTCCAGGTTTCCCAAATGACTCAACCCTGCATCCGTCACATTGGAAGCGGTTTTCAAGTCAACATGCTGTAGTTCAGTCAGTTTTACAAGGCGACTCAACCCTGCATCTGTCACATCCCCACAACATTCCAAGTCAATGCGACAAAGCCGCTCCAGGTTTCCCAGATGACTCAGCCCAGTATCTGTTACCTGCTCGCAAGATTGTAAATTAATGCACCACAGCTGCTGCAAGGTTTCCAGCTGACTCAGCCCAATATCTGTTACATGCTCACAAGATTCCAAATCAATGTGCCACAATTCCTCCAGTTTACCCAGATGACTCAAACCCGTATCTGTTACTCGTCGGCATGAACGTAAATCAATGCGACGCAGCTGCTCCAGGTTTTGCAAATGACTCAACCCTGCATCCGTCACATTTGAAGCGGTTTTCAAATCAACGTGCTGTAGTTTAGTCAGTTTTGCAAGGTGACTCAACCCTGCATCTGTCACATCGCCACAACATTGCAAGTCAATGTACCAAAGCCGCTCCAGGTTTCCCAGATGTCTCAGCCCAATATCTGTCACATAGCCACAACATTGCAAGTCAATGTACCAAAGCCGCTCCAGGTTTCCCAGATGTCTCAGCCCAATATCTGTCACATGCTCACATGATTCCAAATCAATGTGCCACAATTCCTCCAGTTTACCCAGATGACTCAAACCCGTATCTGTCACTCGTCGGCATGAACGTAAATCAATGTGGTGCAGCTGCTCCAGTTTCCCCAGATGACCCAAACCTGTATCTGTCACTCGTCGGCATGAACGTAAATCAATGTGGTGCAGCTGCTCCAGTTTCCCCAGGCGACTCAAACCCGTATCTGTTACACGTCGCCATGAACATAAATCAAAGTAGCACAGCCACTCAAGGTTTCCCAGATGACCCAGTCCCACACCTGTCATATTCTCACATGATTGTAAATCAATGCACTGTAACAACCTCCAAGACAGTTCAGTTCCCTGTCTGTGACGTTCCCAGAAGAAATTAAATCAATGCACATCAGCTCCCAGCGTTCTCCCACGTGCCCAATGGTACTTTTGCTGCTTTTTGATTTAATCCCAGATGAAGCTTTTCCAGTCTGGACAATCTCCCCAATAGTTGCAATCCAAAATCCGTTTCGCTGTCAGGCAAGTGCAGTGTCAGGGATTTTAGTCTGGAAAGTGTCCTCAAATGTTGCAGACCCAGATGGGAGACACATTCACACAGCATCAAGTCAATGAATTGTATTTCACCTGGGTACTCTGGAAGCAGGCATCCTGCATCTTTCACTTCTTTTGATCCAATGATGCTGAAATACCTCATTGCAGCAAACCTTCTCCTATCTTCAACTGGCAGCACACAAACATCTTCCTGCAAAAGAAAGGATCGCAACAAGCAATGTGTAAAGACCACCAGGTTAGGGTGGAGCACCTTAGGCAGGAAGAAGTTAGGCAATGACCTGCAATACATCTGGTGTTTCTTTGTCATATCTATGACTGTTGCCGAAACAGTGGGCCAAGCTAGTTGAAACTGTGCAAGAACCATTGTGGGAGGGCATTGTGGGGAGTGGCAACAATGCAAAAGGATCGAAACCTGAGCAAAGAGAGCGCTGAGCGCACCCACCAGGGCCAAGGGGATGCTAGGCAGCTCCCAGTTTGCTCAAGCGGCTGAAACGCAAGCAAAGGTGCAAGAGGAGAAGGGGGGGGGGAACAAATAGTCGCTGCCATGCACAGGTTGGTGCCCAAGATCCGCCAAAATGGCTGACACTCAAAGCACAAGCCGGAACATCATCAGAGGGCAGCCTTAATCCCCCTTCCGAAATAGGACAGATGCAAGCTGAACTGCAGTACTGCAAACCAAGGGGTGCAGTGACTCCTCCAACATGCAGAAGCACAAGTCAAGGACCTGCCATGCACAGATGGGGCTGGGGACACAGGGGGCACAACGGTCACACAGCAACTCCTTTAGCCACTCTTTTGGCTATTTCAGCTCAACTATCAGTCGTGTAGGCATGTACTTGGCACCAGTCTAGGCGTGGCTGTCTCTGTTCTGGCAAGCTGGGGGCTGCCCCACCCACCAAATCCCCCTTTTGATGTCGTTTTGGCCAGTTTGGCTCGCTCCTGACCCATTTCAGCTGGGTGAGGGACGCCTCGCATGGGCCTTTGCCAGCTTTTCCCCCCATTTTGGCTCAAGCACCAGCCAATTTGACTAATGCTTGGTGCTGAAATGCATACAATACACCAATATTTGGAGTTTGACTTGCAATTACCTCCACGTCAAGGCCATTTCAACAGGACAAGGATCGCTGTGCGGCCCCAAGCGATCCCATGTCACTCAACTCAGGACGAGTTTCAGCCATTTCAGCTGAAGCCAGGCATTGATAGGGGACACAGGCCCAATTCTACAAGGTCGTGGGCACTCTGCAGTCCCCTTACTTTGCATTTTTGCTTTTTCGGCATGAGCATCAGCCATTTCAAGCAACTCAGCATCAAAATGGTCATTGTAGCCCCCTTGTTGGCAGGGTGAAAGGTGTCCTGTGGTGCCATCCACCTGCGCTGTGGCCATTTCGGGGTGCTGATAGGAGCCCAACAATCTTGGATCCCATTTGTGCATTCCATAGTCAACAACCATGGATGCATTCGCATCAAGATTGGTGGTCTACCTGGGTGCGCTGTCACCATCGTTTGAGCTACTTGGACATCTGTTTTGCAAACGATGAATACTGTGGCACCCTTCTGGCATGGTTTTGGCACTTGACTCGCAAGGTAATCATAGCAAAATTGTCGAAACAAAGTTGTTTCACCAAAACAATGCGGAAAACCGGCCACGATGGAACCAACCGTTGTGCTGCAGATAGATGTTGTGACACAATGCAAGACTAATTCTCTGCAAGATCTGAGAAGGAAGGAAACAATTACATTTCCCGTCCTAATAGTACAGCACATGTGTCATATCACACGTTTCTGTTGAGCTCAGATTATCAGACAACATTTTGTTCCCAGCACATGGCAATGGCCACATACAGCTTGGCAAAAACAACCCCATCCCGCACATAACCAGAGCACACATGTACATGAGTCCACAATAAGCAGATCACCCTAGACAGCACTAAAACATGCCAAGACGAGGTAGTGGAGTTTGGGGAACAACAACGTTTAGAAAACTCTGTATTGTCTTATTCAGCTGCTTATTACTGCAAACACATCTACAGTTAACACACTTAATAGCAGGGACAGGCACTGTGTATCTCAATATCAGAGACTGTTTACATAGAGTCTGTTGAGCTGGAGCATAGAATGTTCTCTTCTTCATGTACTCTCAATGTACAAGCGCAGAAGCAGCCCAAGCAACACAGGCGATGTGGAATTTCTAGTTCCAGTGGAACCAATGGTGACACCTTGAGAGCCCAAAAGAGACGAGCAGAAATCTGGAGACATGGATAGACAACTGCAAGCATAAGGAATCTCCCCGCAGCAAATGCATGTCACAAATGGAACCTATTTTCTGCTCTGCGACGACTGTTTGCTGTCGACTGCGGTGTCAGATACAATCCCAGCACTACTACTGTGTGCACATGATTCTGTGATAGTAATTGCTACCTTACCAGCAGCCATTAAATGGAAAAGTTCAAAACCTTGTCATGCTTGTGTCACTCAAAAAATGGTGCTCATTTTCCTGCACTGAACAGTTGGAAACACTATGGGCTATAAGAAGCATTCTGCTGCCCTATTTATATGGTGCTACTGTTAATCTGTCAGAAGTCAATTTATTAATATACTGAGTCACTCACCAAGCGACAGACCTCACGGCATTGTCGAATTCCATTGCCATGATAATGAACACTGACACACCCACCGCACTGCCCCACTAGTGCGTTCGTTGAACTCTGGCTTGCAGACAATTTCTCTGTTTTTGTAGAGGAGTTGCTGACTTTTCAGGTAGATTTGACCATTGTCATTGGTGCTTTTTTGAAGACATAGGTGAGCCAGGACGTGCCCCTTGCACATTGTATTCAGGCGCTACATTGATCGATGCCATGACATCATGTTGATGCAACCATGTTAAGAAGGAAAAAAAAGCAAACAAACAAACACCTGCCACACTGCAAGTTGCGGCGCCACAGTCCTTGCCTGAGATTCCATGTACGACCTGCACAACAAAGTCCGATAATTCAAGTGGTATCGTATCCCATGCAACAATACCTTCATATCTCCCAAGCTATCTAATTTTGCAGGTGCAAAGATCTTCTGCAGATCAATCTAATTTTGCAGGTGCAAAGATCTTCTGCAGCAGATAAAGTGTCAGATAAAGGTGGACCACTGTCACAGGCTATTAAAACCATTGCATTTCGACACTTTGAGCAGTGCTGTTTTGGCTCCAGTCTTTGCTAAAGAACTTATAAGAAGAGGTTCTGTTTGTGATGCCAAACGATGACCATACACACAAGCGTCAACACCTGCTGCACATCTGGGATACCAATACATCCACACAATGTCAATCTGTTGATAACGACTAACTTCCAGCAACTTGATCTAAATCTACAGCAAGGTGTACATTGCATTTGGGGCAAGTGAAAATACTTGCAGATAACAATTCCCCCAAAATGCAAACGTACAATGCCAATTAGCAGCATGCTGTTGCTCTGGCAGAAACATAGCACAGACCCCCAAGTGCACAATAACAACCACCACCTCTTAAGCCAGATATGGCCTGATCACAACCATGCCAATGCCATCAACTCTCTACATCTTTGAATGGCTATTGAATCCGACTTCCAACAGTGCATTCTCTGAAAACATGAACTTCTTTACCCACCTCCTTCTCTTCAATGTTGGTCGCTCAGGTGCCTGTGCCACTGGTATGGCAGCTGAATGCAAATGGTGACCAGGCAATTGCCGATTGTGTCCAGCAAGTTGATCCCATCGCTGGGTCACAGAAGCTGATTGGGCAGTTGGCTGTCCATGCTTGTTTGGCAACTGACGATAGGACATGTCATATTGTGACATAGGCATATCAACTTGGCTCCTTTGTTCAAGCACTGCCAAAGGTTGGGCATCTGATGGCACATAGTCATCAGGAAATTGCTCATTGGATGCTAGTTGGCCAAATGGTTGAGCTGTGTTGTCTGTCAGATCATGTTCATCCTCCTGATCTGTTGTATCCAACGGCAAATGTGTGGGAGGTGTATGATGTTGCTGTCCTGGTCATCACAAATTGTGCATACTGTCAGCATGCCAAGCCAGAAAGAAGAAAGAAGCACATCTCAAATGACCCACATTATGTAGACATTGGTCTCAATTGGCAACAGCACACATTCCTCCGATTACCATGAAGATTGGCTTCAGCAGGAAGGTTCATTCCTTCAACAAGGCCAAATCCCACTGCTGTGTGAAGCTCTGACACTCCCAATCTTTGTACCAAGCTGCGCACCCACACTTCCAATTCACCCATCAATTCTCTTGCAGTGAGACCCCCCAAGCCACTGACAAGCCATCTGACAAAGCACGTGATGGTCTGGTCCTGAACAGCAGCACAAAACGAAGTGAACATCATACTTCTTGACCACTGTTGCTCGATTCTCACATTGTCCATGAAAGTTTTTCTGCCATCTTCAATAGTGGGGACAAGAGCTACACCAACATTGCGCCCATCCTACTGCCTAGATTGTACAAGAAATATCATGTTCTGTTTTGCTCAAGTTCGCTTGCCCATTTTCCCTTCTTTCCTCATGGTACTCTTTCAGGGTTTCACGTGACAAATCACCACACTGCTATTTCACACCCTTGCATCTTCCAGGCATATTTTTCTATGCTGTTTCACCCATCAACCACCCTGAAACACTTGAGACACCCAGACATGGCCTCACTACAAACATCTATGCAAATCAGTCTGACACTCGAACACATTAAGTATGCAACAAGCAGGACTCGTCAGCAAATGGTAGCACACATTCCCACATGCTCATGATGCCTCACAACGACTGTTGTGTTCTGTGGGTTGATTACTTGTTATGAAAGCAGAAGATGGGTATCTGTTGCAACCATATTGCACACTGCACATGGTGGCATGGGCAAACCACCTTTGCAAATACAAAGAAGGGAAAGCGAGACACTCTGGATATCAGTCCTGATGAGTAGATGTGGCAGAGTGGGAATAGGGTAAACGTGGAAGGACAGGGAGTCAGGCTAGTTGGAAAGGTTACCTTATGTGCTCAACAAGATTTCTCCGAACTGATCTTTCCTGTTGAAGGGCTCAAGGAGATACCTGAGTACACTGGGCTTGAGAAGTACCATTTTAGAACACATAGGCACCTATCATATCAAGATCGTACAAGTCTCATCTTGGTCTTTTATGCCAGATGAAGATTATCAAGTGACGCAGGCAACGCGCGAATCTCTGGCATTCATGTGCCAGGCATGGCAGCATTCGCAGCTCATGTGCAAGGTTTGGGGTGGGGGTGGGCTAGAATGTTAATTTTTGCCCCCACACACTTCTGACACGCTTCGGCTGAAGAACCATGGCACACCACTGTCCCTCAAATTGCTGTGTGTCTTCTTGGCCAAGACATTGAATTGGGGTTACTGTGGAATGGCACAGCGTGGAAGGGCAGGTGAGGTCATGGGAACTGGAGGGGTTGGGTGGCCTGCAGTGCTCAAGCATGGGGGGGGGAAACCCATCGACACCCATGACAGAAGCGAGTCAATGGGGGACTGAGATCGTCAGTGGGAAAGAATGGTGCTGGTTTCCATTAATGACAATCGAGACCATTGGCAGTCTCAATCGACGATCAGCGTTGGACTGGCTCAGACGGAGGGGGAAAGGTGATTGGGGGAAGCGAGATTCCACTACCTTGCAGTGGATTACACCATGGGGTGCAAGGTGGAGGTGAGCAGACCCCAGGCACTCCCCAACAGCTGACGATCAGAATACCATGAAGCTGGCCTGGGAATGTGGTGAGGGAATTGCAGAAATGGAATTGGAGAGGGTGGGGGTAGGTTTAGGGGCCGAGCAGTGCAATGCCCACCAATTTGGGGAAGGTGCAGTAGTGGGGCCAATTGAACTCAGCAGCACTTGTAGTCACTGGTGAACTCAATCAACAACTGGCCACAACTGGGCCTGGTTGGAGGGATGGAGCTTGGAGGGTGACCATTTGGGGCACTAAGAAAATGGCCCAGGTTATACCCAGAACTGGCAGGATGGTGGGAGGTCAATTATGCAAAAGGTCAGGGGTAGCAGTGTTTGGGTTGTGGGGTGGGAAACGGGAGCTGTGGGGCGAAATTATAGGGCGGGTGTTTTGGTAGCAAGCAAGCACTTTTTTGACCACAAACACCACACGTACTTGCAGAAAATTGAATTTAAAATGATTGAAGACCACAAGGCTCTCGTTTTGGGCTCACCCAGACATGACTGGCATAATCCCTGCATAGATATACACGTACATCCTTCATACTAAGTACGGTGCAAACATGTGATTTACAGGCTAGTCATGTCCTGAAAAGGATTCATGACGATGCATATGGAAACCTATAGCCAATTATGCAGTGGCTATTGTATTCCTTGATTGGCCTCGTTTCCTGTCTATCCACAGGAAAATGCCACTCTGCATGAGGTTGATGTCTACATAAAACCACATCACATTAGAAGTGAGGTGAACTGCTTAGTTCAGATTTACAAAAAGAAGGTTTGGTCCTCAAGGAGCATAAATGAGAATGGTGGATGCTTTTGTTCAGGCTACCAACAATGCTCCATCCAAATTCAGTGGCGGTCCTTTGATAAGTGCAATGAGCTGCCAAGTGATGGTTGAAACGAGTTGAATAAACCAAAGACAAACCAAAAGTAACAAAACTATGACAAAGGCGCTCCATTTATTTGACATGGAATTCGTGATCAACACACCCTACCTCCCCCAAGTTGCCAATATTGGCCAAGGCAGCCACTGCCAGTGCATACAGGTTGATCTTTGGGCGCAGCTTTTTGAACTCTCTTCCAGATGGTCCATACTCCACCCTACAGTCACGTTTCTTGCCAGCCGAAATCAGCCTTTTCTCTGTCAGGTATGTAGTGATGTCCTTCATCTTCTTTCCTTTCGATCTCAGCCAGTCTGTGGCCTGTACAGGGCTTTCAATTTTGACAAGAACACCTGCAATGCATCGGATTGCAAGGGGATTGGTTGAATGGAGTTGGACAACATTCTTGCTGTCATTCCCCAATAATCAGGGGCTAACGACCACCCTGGATGGCTGGGTGCATTGACAGCCCTTTGGTTCGCAGCATTGACAAAAGCAGTCTCGTCATGCATAGGGAACCATTTCCACAAGCCAAATGCAGGCTATCCACAGGAAGATGTAAGCAAATGCTCAACGATTTCGATTCTCTGGATTCTGCCTGAACAACTTCATCGTTTGTGACTGCGGCGTGAGCCAATCACAGCGCGACGCGGGATGATGATTCTTGGAATCGCCTGCTGGGTAAGCCATGCAATACCTCGACATTGTCCCAGACTGGCCGAAAACCGCATAACAGGGGACAGCCAACGGGAACACCACCTTCAGACAGGCGCAACGCGCAGCGGCGTACATATCGCTGGCACAGCGGCAGCCAGCAAGGACCAAAAAACAACAACCGTTGGGCGCACATTTGTGCTATTCCGGCCAATAATACCCCAGAGCATCCGCCCAAAGCACCAACGGTTAGCCTCGCAGCCCCTCGACAACTCGCTTATACCAACAAAACGAAATTCCACGAAAAACCAAAGAGAAAACAGCCAAAACCACTTCCGTTCCTCAACATCGAGGCGCCCCACACCACGCCGGCCAAGGGAGCAGTACAAGCAATACAAGTCATGCCATTACCACCGAAGCGATACACCAGTGGCAGCAAGGCAGATCGTCGAGGACCGCGGCACGACCAGCAAGATCCGATTCACACTCGCCTGGCGTCAATGTGCCGCGCGGGGCAGCGCTGGATCCGTCTCCAGAGCTGCAATCCTCATCCATGCGGTCCCCATCCTGGGGCGCACCATCCATCTCTTGAACCCGGATCGCTGGACCCCCCCGAAGGCAACCCCAGATCGATTTTACCCCGGTTCTGGGATCCCTGGGGGTGCGGTTGTTGCCTCAGGCGCCGGAAACAGGCGCCTGGCGCGCCTCGCGCGCGGGGGAACTCCCGTTGCCTTTCTCACGGAGCTTCCAGAACAGGGTGGTGAACGGAGGGTGTATGGAAGGTTGTTGCGGGAATGTGGGCGAGCTCCGGTTTATGTACGCGAGGAGCGGTGCCGTGACGAGTAAACTGATTGGATTGGGTGCAGCCTCACGCACAAGGTTGGTTGCGACTCCATGCTACTTTGGGGCGAGCACGCCGGGCCCAAGGATTTATGCTTCAGAGGCCACGCGTTTGTCATGTCAAGGATCCCAAAACTGCACACAATCTTTTCAAGACCTACGCTTCGGGAGCACTTCCTCTAAATTTTCCATGTGGAGATAACTGATGAGATACAAGAATCGAATACCTGGTAGTGGAACTTCCCAACTCTCGGGTACGTGGCACCATTTTCAAGCCCGAGTTTCAACAACTCTCAGCCAATCCTCGACCGTGGTATGGATGCATCATTGTTTTCTTCTGTGGAAGAATCGTTGGACCGATTCTGGCCTGATTTCAGTTCCATGGAGGCTACATGAGTTGACATGTAGTCTTTTTAGCGGACCTACAAACACGTCTATATTTCCAGTGTTTTCTCCAACCAGTCTTTGAGGATTCAGCAATGGTACAGACACATAAAGCCAATCTACCCATACGAACGATATCTTTCACCGTTACATCCTATTTCCTTGAGGACGTTTTCTCTGCGATGTCGATGTGGGGTTCCGTTTCTATAGGTTGACCGGCAACGACACCAAGCAGGGCAATCTATTCCAAAATTCCCAATGCGATTGTGTCCATTACGTTCCTCAGATCCACAAGGTGATAATCATTTTCTCTTCCTCTGCCATGCCTATGACGGCATTCGTCGAAACCAATCAACAATTTTTTTGACGTCGCAATGCCAAAACACTTTTTGCTTCAATTCCGGCTTGCAGCTGGTAGGGACGTTTCTTTTGATGCGTCATCATCTACAAACGTTTCTTGGCATTAGGAATTCATTGGTTCCTTGACTGTGTTGTATTATTCATTATATGGCAATGAACTTAATAAATTTGATAATATTATGGACACTGCTTTACTCAGGCAAAAAGAAAGTTGACCGCTACTTCATTGCCTTTTTATATCAAAATCATGGTGATATGATGGTGATGACGACATGCTTCCCTGAGTGACAGTCAAGGCATTTTGCAACATTGCTTGGAGTAGACGGGTAATCAAAGGATTTTTGGCACCTGCTTGGATGCCCGCACCCAATCAAAACAATTTTAATACACTTTAATTGGACCTCGGTCTTGCCATTGCGTGCTTTCCTATTTTCCATTTCGAGAAATGTTTGAAATGCTCACATCGAGCTATTTATATAATTAACTATTATGTTAATGAGTTTCTGCCAAGGACGACATTGGGTGGGCGCGTATCGGCCAGTTCGGGCCGTTCCGCCTCTTGGACAGTTTGGGGCCATCCATTGGCCGGTTTCTGTCACCCCTGTACTCGGGGTCAGTTCTGCTCGATGGATCCAAGGGC